CCAAAACAGGGATGCATCCCACCAAGAGCTGCCAAAAAATGGGGATTCTCAGGGTCCCCTTCAAACCAAGGACCCCCAAGCCCCTTCTGTACTGAGTCCCCTCAAGTGGGACACTCCCAAGACACCCTGAAACAGGGACTTGTCAGAGACCCCAAATCAGGGACCCCTGAGTGCCCCTCCCATTGGGGACCCACCAACTGAACTCTCCCCAGTCCCACCCAAACAAGGACTCCCCAAGAATCACCCCCACCCCAAAACCAGGGGCCCACCCCAAGCCCCTCCACCACCTTTGCCCCCCCTTAAATTTGCTGACCCTCAAAATTTCTGGCCTCCACGTTGACAGGAACCCCTGAGGACATCATGGCCTGGGAAGGCAAGGGGGAAGATTTGGGGTCCCCCTGGATACCAGGAACCCCACTAGGCCGGTTCTCTGGTCTCCCAGGACAGCAGTGTCCCTTCTGGACCCACTTTGGGAGGGTTTTGTGGTCCCCATGGGGGTTGGGGTGTCACCTGGAGGATTTCGGGGTGCCCATAGGCTGCAGCCAGGTGCAGCGCCGTGCGGCCCCCGTGGTCGGCGGCATCAGGGTTGGCCCCCAGGACAAGCAGGTCCCGCACAATCTCCGGGGCTGCAGCTGCTGCTGCCACCAGCAGGGGAGTCTGGGGACATCAAATGGGGGGTCAGGGACAGAATGAACAGGGGTCAGGGGGGTTTGAGTGACTCCTGGGGGGAGTTAAATGTCTAAGGGGCTTTTGCAGGGAAAAAAGTCTGGGGGCTTTTGCAGGGAAAAAAGGAAGGTCAGTGAGATCTGGGGGAGTCAGGGATTGTTGGGGGGCATCAAGCACCCCCAGACCCTCAAATTATCACCCTGGTATTCTGCTACTGCTCTGCCTCCCCTTATCATTCCTTTATCATCCCTTCATTAATTATTTGTTATTGATTGCCTTCATTGCCCTTTATTGGACTCTAATTACACCATCACTAATTACCTGTTATTGCCCCTCAGTATTAATTACCCCTTGATTCTCCAGCACTCCTTCTATTATTAGACTGCAACAGAACCCCATGATTAATTATCCCAGAATTAACAACCCCATCCCCATATATTTTACCTCCATCACCCCCTTATTGCCCCAGTACGACCCACTTATTACTTTTTCTTTACCTGCAACTTTCTCTTGCACTTCTAGCTTCCCACCCCGAACTTGC